GTGTAGTTAGAGATTATGATGGTGCTTTTATTGCAGCGTTCTTAAAACCTTTTAAAATCTCTTCCAATAATTTTATAGAATTCTCTGCTCTTGAAGAAGGTTTGGTTCTAGCCGTTCAACTAAATTGTTTTATCTTCAGTTTGAAAGTGACTCAAGTTTACTTGTTAATGTTATTCATTAATGTTGTAGATCTCCCTGATAGTTATATACGATCGCAGCAGATTGTAGACAACATCTCTCTACTCGTGGGTGGTCCATTTTTCATATTTTTTGTTGGACAACATGGTGATTGACATTCTTGAAAAGAGGGCCACATCTCTTTTACAAGCCACTATTTGGCATTTGCGTCCGCCAAACTTCATTTCCCTTACTTTACTTCATGATTTGTCACAGGTCATGGTCCAAGGCTGTGAAGAGATGTTGTAACCATCTTTTATTTTAAAATATTTATAAAAAAAAACAGGTAGGGGCCTTCTCCCCCATTGACTTACCCAAATAAAAAAAAAAAGAGAAAAGTTTATATAGAGCCTAGGCTCTAAACAATCGAATTAAAGCCTACATCAAAATTTTCACTAGAAGAGGTTATTTTGATGCTCCAATATCATCAAATTGATCATCTAGACATCAAGATGCATGGAAATGAGAAAAAAAATGGATCTCGACTTTTGAAAGTAGTGCATCTTATAACACATATTTTAGACCATCAATTTTCAAGATTTTGAAGTTTTTATAGATCTGCTTGATCTACTCTATTTTTTAAGCTTTAAATTTTATAACTATAGATGAAAATATAATTTAAGACTATCACAAAACTTTCTAGTATTGCAACCATATTTCTCAACATTATTTGAAGGTGGACTCTAATTTGATTGTTTAGAGCCTCGGTTCTATACAAACCGCACCCAAAAAAAAAAAAAACGGCTCATATTTAAAAAATAGAAAAAGAAATTCTCAAACGTTGTGATACATCCTAAATCATCTAATTTGACATCTAATGGCTAATAGCAATTGTGACCTCCTCATAACAAAAATAAATGGTCTCCATGCATACAATCCCACAAAATAAATTCGACAAAAAGCACCTTTTTGTCTATGCAGAAAATTTCTCTTTCTGATTTCCATGATACTTGATTGATGGCCTTTTAATAGTAAAACTGAAAATACACATCACTAGTAGCCTTGTTGAGATACAGAGTGAAGAAGCAAAGCTACAGTTTTTGAAATCTATTTTCATTTCTAATTATAAAATTCTAATCTCCAAAATTAGTTAAAAATCAAGTACATATATACACATATGAAAATCTTGAAAATGGACAATCTAAATAATGTGTTGAAAGATGCACTATTTTTAGGACTCAAAATCTTTACTTTTTTCATATTCATACATCTTGATGTCGAGATGATCAATTATAGGTCTTTTAAACATTAAAACAACCTTTTCATATGGGTCTTTGAGGTGCATCTATAGTTCTACATTTTAAGGTTGCAACCTTATAAAAACTTTTTCTATTATGTTATAGTAATATTAGATTACATTATATCATATTAATAATACTTATATTATGTATTTATATTATGCATAATGAATAGTGATAAACAAAAACTTTATGAAACATTAAGCCCTTTTAGGAATTTAATCTTTCGTATTTTAACAAAGGAATGGGAACTTTTGTTGGAAGATTACTTTCTGAACTTTTAGATGAAACCGTGTGTCAAACGCAAAACAATTGAAAAATTAGAAAGATTTCTTTCAGAAATAATTCTTTCAGAGAAACAAACATGCCCTAAGAGAGACATCTCATGCACAGGGGGCCCTCTCTCCCCTCTCTCTCTCTCTAGGAGAAATCTTCTATCTCATATGGTGATCCAAATAAGGCAAACAAATTTTCAGTATTTTCATCCCATATATATAAAGTTAGGAATCCACACTAAATATGAAATTTTATATAGATGTTACATACGTCTTAAAACCAAAAAATATACCAAGAGTCCTAATATTTTTCTGTTTCTATTTTATTTAGGAAATTTATAAATATCAATCTCAATCTCATATAATGCAGGATTTCCTTATGTGATTGATTTTGGATAGTACCAAATCCAACAATCTCCATCTTGATATCAAAATCACATGCTCACCATTCCAACATCTATTGGATAGTTGTATAAATTCTTTATCTTTTGCCAAATAAATTTCTTCATCATTATTACTGAAAAATAGTTTTTGCCATCAAATTTCTCTACCTCAAACTTTGCATTTGAAACCTTTACCACCATACCGACAACCTCAATCCAGGCTTTGATACTACTTGTTATGCGTAGAAGCTCTAAACATGATAGGTTATTTTTAACAAATAACGTACAAAAAATAAAACATGAAACACATACCACAAGAACACAAAGATTTACATAATTCACCCTAGAAGGGCTACATCCACGGGCACAACAAACTGAAATCTACTATACCAATGACAGTTACATCAAAGATTTTGGGACATAGAGTTATCTAAAGTACGAGAAAAATAAAACTGACAAACATAAATTTGAAATTTGACAAATCAATGTTCGGATCTGTTAGTGCAACAAGGCCTACATCAAGCTATGATACCTCTTGTCAACATATTTGCAGCAATAGACTTCAAGACACAACAAAGGTGGAGATAATTGGATTTGGTGCTATCTAAAATCCAACACATCTAACCCAAAAGCTACTGACAATTATCATTGTCCTGATATTATCGTGGAGGAATTTCACCTGGATATTAGCGACATCATTGTCTTGATTTTATTACTGAGGAATTTTATCGGGATATTATTAGCCTATTTCAAAATACTTATGAAATGGGCTACTTTCACAATTATTCAACAAGTTCTTTAAAATCTAGCCCTTCTAAATTTGTTCCAAAATTTGAACTTCAGAATATATATGTTCAACCTAATTCTTGGGTACTAATTTCTTATTTTCTAAATTTCTAAGCTATCGTTAAGGCTTTCAAAAAAAATTTAGCTTTAAAAAATTATAAGAATTAGGAGCACAGCAACTAATGCATTACGATTTAAGAAGTCCATCTCTTATTTGAAGTTTTTCCATAATTAGGTTTCAAAATACTATAATTATTATTATGAAAAAATATACAATGAAACCATTTATTTTGTATATAAAGTGGTTACAATCAATCTTGACCATTGATGTAAAATTAGGTGGATACATTTATTCCATTGACCAAACTCAAACTTCAAAATAAATTCTTTCAAACTTTGTGACCCACCCAATCCATCAAATTTTCCATTGACCAAACTCAAACTTCAAAAGAAATTCTTTCGAACCCAATCCATCAAATTTCATATTGGATGGTTGTCAGTAACAGTGACCTCATTGTATCATATGAAACGGTCTCATTGTATACCATCGCTATTATTATTATCATTTAAAAAAATTATCATGACAATCCATATTATCATGGCAAATGCAATTTATCATGATACTATCAAAGCAACTATCAGCATAGAAAATTATGGTAAAATTCAACTTATGGCCGATAATTATCTCTAAGCTCAAAAAAAGTGAAAACGTAATGTGGAAATTCTCGCTTCAAATAAAACAAACAGGAAAATGATGTCTTTCAGAATAAGGGGTTCTCATGTGTTTCACGTCTTCGATCTTATGGGTTTTCCTTTTTTTGATGCAGTTTCCATGAGGCTTAAACTTTATGAAAGCAAACCAAACCGTCATTTCATATCTTTGTTTAGAAATCACTTTGAGCATAGAAATCTCGCTCTAAAACGAATTTTTAACGACGACTATAAATTTGAAGCTTAAAAAATGACAGAGATATTGCAAATCCGTGAATACACTATTTTCAAAGTCCGAAATCCTAATTTTTTTTACAACCATAATAGGCAAGGCTGAGACGATGGATTTTAAGGTTTTCTGCTGTAAGTTCCAGTTTTTGAGGCCATCAAATAATTTTCCCTTCTTTTTTGTACAAATATTATTAATTTGGAAATAAACTGTTGAGCATAAAGTGATGTCTAATGATATCAAACAGTGTTTGCAACAGGAGAAGACAAATTAATAATTTTTAACATGAAAATAAATTGTAATAATCTTCAAAATACAATCAGAACGAAAGAGAGTTGGGAAATATAAGAACTAACCAACTTCGTCATTTTCCATTGCGTGGTTTATACGTGGTTTATATAGAGCCTAGGCTCTAAACAATCAAATTAGAACCTACCGAAATGTGGTTTCAATACTGAAAATATTTAGGACAGCTCTAAAATATATTTTCATCTTTATTTATAAAGTTTAATGTTTCAAAAATAATGTAGATCGACAGATCTATAAAAACTTGAAAATCTTCAAAAGTGAAGATAAAAAAATGCTTTACAAAATACAATATTTCCATAACTTAAAATGCACTTTTTCCTCCTGACGTTGCATCTTCATGTTAAGATGATCAATTTGAAAATATTTCAGCATCAAAACAACTTCTTCTAATGAAAATTTTGAGGTAAGCTCTAATTTGATTGCTTAGAACCTCGGCTCTATACAAACTTTTCCTTTTCCGTTTATTAAATGTTCAAAGACATTCAAATTCGAACAAATATCACTCTTCACATAGATTTTAGTGACATAGAGGCGATATTGTAAACCTCAAAATCAATATGCAACAAACTCGGACCGAGCCCACATAACCAGTGTTAATAACATCGGACACCAGCCGATACCGTGAGCCAAATAAGAGGTTCACAAAAAAAAGATTAAAATTTAGGTAGAAAAGTGAACAAAAATAAAAAAGAAGTTAAAATATTACATTTTAATAGGAGCTATAAATCAAAATCAACAACGAAAATAAAAAACCACTTTGAGAATAAAATGGTGGGAAAAAAAAAATCTTAGATTTCTTTTATTTTTTATTAAAACAATTTTATTTGAGCTTTTGTAAAACAATGTCTACTTCATGATTCACTCACTAAGAATCAAGATACACCCTTTCCTATAGCAAACAAAATGGCTACCAATCCTTGGCAATTAAACTCCTGAACATAAGACTTCTACTGTCCAATTCCATGGACGAAACTGACGCTAGTTCTCCAATCTTTATCTTTCAATGGCTATGGAAAATTTCCCCCCAATGAAGGGTTGAGAAAGACCACCTTCACAACTCAAAACCCACATCAGAAATTTATCGAGCCTAAATATCCCCAAAAAGAAAAAAAAAAAAAACGAACAAAAAAAAAAAAATCAAGAGAATTAATCAGGTGTGGCTGTGCCTTGGTTCAGCTCAGCAAACCTCAGGCCAACCCTCATGGAGTGCTTTAAGAATTTCTCAGCACAACGGCGGACGCATGTGTCCTCTTGCTTGTCAAGGGACTTGCGACGGAAGGTATCAATGCAGTCATTAAAGCATCTCTCCACCAAGGAATTGTACATTCTCAGACTGCAAGTCCGCGAATCAAAGTATACATCTATTAAAATCAACACATTGTGGAGAACAAAAATTCCCAAACTAATATTTAGACAAAAATGCTGAAGAAAAATTCAGCATAGACTCACAATGTGTTATGTTAGAAACAATATTGATTGCCTTTAACATAATTTATATTGACATTCATTATTAAATAACCAAAATTACCCATGCTTACAATCAAATTTTGACTGGGCATCATTCTTCAAATATTTGCTGGCCTACTTTCATTTTATGACAGAGTTACTGACATGCAACCTTAAAAAGAATATGTGATATTACTAGAAAAAAAAATGAATTTTTACTCATTTAAAGAAAATGAGTTCTCAAATTTTATCAATAGTCACACAAACTCAAAGCCAATGCTAGACTATTTCAATTAAAATAACTTACAAGAACAGGCCATATCCATGACATTATGACCACTGTCAACTCAGTCCGGTACTGGATCAAAGCAGGGTACAATTTCCAGCCAAATCTTATGCACCTCAACAAGAACATTGAAAGATATGCCAAATTCAATATTAAGGACAGCAAATTTTGAATGAACATATACCAGCAAACCTTGTTAGCATCATAACTAACCTGGGACAGAGGGCACCTCCATAATGTAAAGGACACTCACACATCACTACAAATAACACAACAAAACGACAACACCAATTGCAGATAATAAAATGGAAATAACGTAAAAAAAAATAAAAAATCGACTCACTGCTGGTGAACCCTAGAAGTATGATCGTGCTCTATTTGCATTTAATAGTTTAAATTTTTTGTTTTCCTTTTCTATCTGATGCAGCAAGTTAATCAAGAGAAGTAACTCATACAGGCTTAGACAATGAGCATAATATAAATATCTATTGATTTTAATAATAATTAGGGAGTACTTGTCGGTTATTTGGGGGTCTCACCGTGGTTTATCAAACATCACGGTGGACATGAACTCCCAAACACGGAACCTAAAATCAGGAGATGTGGAGGCATGAGAGGAGCTCGCTTTCTTCAAAGTGTTAAACGTGCCCGTCTCGGTAAAATTTCGAGGTGAAAACAAGACCCAACGAGTACCTCCCAGGATACAGCCAGATCAAAATAAATTCTTAAGTCCTTGAGTTGCACACTCAGAAGATCCGTACCAAACCATAGTCTACAAATTTGATGTCTTTCCAATTTGTATAAGATCACAAACATCAATTGGAAATTCTCTCTTAGACAAAATAACTCAGCCAATCGATATACAACAATAAAACATCGATTAGGAACATCTTCTCTCTCACTAAAATGTCTTCCAATCAGTAAAAGAAACTTCGATTGGATATGACAAACAACAGCTCTAAGCAAAATGTCTTTGAATGATATATGAAAACATAGTATCACAAAATACTAGAAATTCACTACCATTAAAGGGGAGAGCTTGTACCTATTATGCTCAAACAAGCCACAAATATGTTCCTACTATGTTCATAAAGTACCTGGACATGGGACCTTTTGGATGAATGGGCATTAATAAGTAGAGCTAGAGAGAGAGCTTGTTCTCTTCGAAAGACCAGCGTTCCTCCAAAGGATGGAAAAAGGAAGAATCTTGAGAGAAGCAAGGATGCTATAAATACCACAGGCTTATGTGTGAGGTGTCAAGAGAACAAAGTAAAAGTGGTCCAAAAGCTGCCACATATTTAGTGACAAAGTACATGAAGGACACCAACAGAACAAAGTAAAAGTGGTCCAAAAGCTGCCACATATTTAGTGACAAAGTACATGAAGGACACCAACTGTGAATCATGGTGAGTGCATGAAAACGTTTTCCAAGAACATGGTGGTCCAACATAACCACAAGAAGCAAAATGGACCAACAGTAAAATAGGCTGTTTTGAAACACTAACTTTAGTAAAAAACTAACAATCCCCCACCTGTTTCAAAACAACATGACCTCTCTCCAAACATATCAGAAAAGACGAATGCACAAGTAAAAGTGCCTTTTGGACTTGAACCAGTGATTCAAAAAGCGGACCGCCTAGGCGGTCCAGAAGGCCATAGTGCATCGCCCAGGCCTAGGCGGCCAATCTGGGCGGCAGTCCCTGGGCGGCCGCTTAGATGGGGGCCCCGCCCAGAGGCAAAAAAAAATTTGTTTCAAAGTTGACAAAAATTTATCAAAACATCACTCATTGATATTAGATTTAAGTTTGATTGAGGGGGAGGGGGGGGTTTAGAAGATTTTGAATCCTTAGAAGCATCTTTGATGGGGCATCCTTTTTGGATTCGACTGGGCCGCCAGGTTCTGGGCGCCTGACTAGGCGCTGGGCGGCCGGACCCCCCAAGTCGCCTAGGACCCGCCTAGCGCTTTTTGAAACGCTGACTTGAACCATCACGTAGTATTATGTAGAAAGCTCATCAACAAAGGACATAGTTTAAGGTGTGTTCACTCACTGTCCTGATAAGCTTTCTACATAATATTACGTAAAGGTTCAAGTCCAAAAAGCACTTTCACTTATGCATTTGTCTTTCCTGATAGGATTGAAGAGATCAGGTTGTTTTGAAACAGGTGGGGTATTATTAGCTTTTTACTAAAGGTAGTGTTTCAAAACAACCTATTTAACTGCTGACCCATTTTGCTTCTTGTGGTCATGCTGGACCACCATATTCTTGGAATACTTTTTCATGCACTCACCACGATTCATATTTCATGCACTCACCATGTTTCACACTAAAGCATGAGGTGTCCATGTGTTTTGTCACTCAACATGTGGCATCTTTTGGACCACCTTTTCTTTGTTCTCTTGACACCTCACACATTAAGCTTTTGATATTTATAACATCCTTGCTGCTCTCTCTAGTTTCTTCCTTTCTCCATCCTTTGCAAGTACGTTAGTCTTTTGAAGATAACAATCTCTCTCTCTCTTAGTCAAACATACCATCTCTCTCTCTTTCTCTAGCTCTACTTATTGTTAGTGGCCATTCCTTCAAAAGGTCCCATGTTCAGTTACTTTATGAGCATAGTACGAACATATTTGTGGCTTGTTTGAGCATAACAGGTACATGCTCGCCCTTTTAATTCACCACTTATTGTAGTGAATTTATAGTATTTTGTGATAAACTATGTTTTCATATATCATTCAAAGAAATTTTGTTTAGAGTTGTTATTTGTCATATCAAATCGAAGTTTATTTACCGATTGGAAGATATATTTTAGTGAGAGAAGATGTTCCTAATCGATGTTCTATTGTTGTATACCAATTGGATGATTTATTTTGTCGTAAGAGAGAGAATTTCCAATTGATGTTTGTGAACTTATAACAATCGGAAAGACATCAAATTTGTAGACTATGGTCTGTACGGGTCTTCTGAGTGTGCAACTCAGGGAGTCAAGAATGTTTTTCGATCTGGCTGCAATTTGAGAGTGTACTTGCCAAGAACCGTTTGCACGATGGATTTTAGACAGGGGCGTTTAACACTACGAAAAAAGCGAGCTCCCGTGCTTCCAGATCCCCTGTTTTTGGTCCAAGCAATTTGGGAGTTCATGTCTACCGCAATGTTTCGTAAACCGGTGTGAGACCCCAATAAAACCAACAATTCCGAAGTGTTAAATGGGACGTTTTTTTGGGAGATGTCCATTGACCATTAACTTTAAGGACCAAGATAACGTAAGGCCAAACCCTTGGGTATTCTCTGCGACTTTATTTACCTCTGAATACTGCTCTGAGTCCTATGGAAATCCGACTGGTACTACGACTATTTCAGTTTGCAGATATAACCTCCAATACATGCTTCGATTCCTACAGGAGACAAAATTGTATTAGGCAGGTTCTAGTACTTTTCTGGCACTTTCCCGGACTAGCAGAGGTGCTACAGAATTTTTTCGAGTATTGAGATAGTGAAGATTTATTGACTGCAAGTCAGGCTATCTACCGAGTGGCAGTCAAGCTTATTGAGCGTCTGTCATGCTCATCAAAAGTAAGGCTTATGGAGCATCGGTTAGGATCATCAAGAATATGTAAGGCTTATTGAGCGTCTGTTAGGCTCATCACGCGTAGTAAAGTCTATGGAGTGTCAATTAGGCTCATCAAGCGTATATAAGGCTTATTGAGCGTCTATCAGGCTCATCAAGTGTATGGCTTATTGAGTGTCTATCAGGCTCATCAAGTGTAAGGCTTATTGAGCGTCTATCAAGCTCATCAAGTGAAAGGCTTAAGGAGAGTCTGTCAAGCTCATCAAGAGTAAGTAAGGCTTATAGAGCGTCAGTCAGGCTCATCAAGCCTATGTAAGGCTTATGGAGCATCAGTTAGGCTCATCAAGCATATGTAAGGCTTATAAAGTGTCTTTCAGGCTCATCAATCGTAAGGCTTATGGAGCGTCAGTAAGGCATATAAAAGGTATATGGAGCGTCAGGCTCATCAAGCAACTTGTAAGGCTTATCGAGCGTCTGTCACGCTTATCAAGCGTAAGTCAGACAATGGATTGTAAGTCAGACTATCGAATGTAAGTCAGATTATGGATTGTAAGTCAAGCTATTAACCGTAAGTCAAAATCTATCAACTGTATGTCAGACACTATCAACTGTCAGTTAAGTCATTGACCATCTGTGAAGCTATCGACCGTCAGTTAGGCCATGAACCATTTGTGAAGCTATCGACCGTCAGTTAAGCCATTGACTGACTATGAAGCCATCAACTGTCAATTAGGCCATCGACCGTTAGTAAGGCTATCGATAGTTTGCCAGGTTACCCACCATCTCTCATCAAATCCATATCGAAGATTGATCCAAGAGATGATTATTGGAAGATCGCAGAAAGTATTTACTCAGAATTTGTTAGGCCAGATCAGTTCTGAGGATGCAGGACATTTAAGATGGCAGCAGAGGTTCCAATTTCTTTGTAAATTGGTAGTTATGTTATGTATAGACCTTAGGAGTATGCCTGCGTGCCATATATTAGTCGATTTTATGGATTGATCCAGTCACGTGCAGATTTTATGTAGACTTC